GCCACAAACCCAGCAGCTGCCCCAACCCTCTCTGCAGCGCTACGTCAAAGCTCCCAGAGGAGATTGTTCCATGTAAAATCACATTACCCCCCTGTCTTATTCAGTTGTGTGCAGTTTGCTGTCATGGATCAAAAAACACGCTGACAAAATATTTAATAGCAGCGTGTCACAAGAAAAGCTCTTTTCCTGAGATTCTGTGGTGTGTAACAGCTGAAGGGACTGCCAGGTATGACCCACACGTGCTCTCTGAGTGTATCCATGCACTTCTGCTGAGCGCAGCGGGAGGCCACAGGTGTGGGAGCCTATTCGGCAGAGAAACTCCTCTCAGATGCTGCAATGTGGGTAATAATAGTTAGCAGCAACAGCTGTGCCCTGTCTCCCGCCTTCACCTCTAATGCTCTCTAATCATCCCTCTATCAGGCCTAATATCCCACAGTGGTGCCCTCACAGCTGTCTGAGGGACTCTGGGTATCGAGACACCTGTCAATCTCTCTCTCCCCCTAATATGCAAAAACACACAAACAGTCAGACGCCGCAAACAAAAATATCTCATCTAAGAAAAATTCAGCGACCACTGGATTGCACACTTGTGAAAAGCAAGCACCAGGGGTTTGAGTTAGGCATTGCTCGAGTCCTAATAATACTTACTTATCTTACACTGGGCCTCGGTGCAGCCCAGTTTATCCTCTGAAGCTAGCTTGTCTCTCTCCTTTTAAGGCAGCTTTCTTTTGACTGTCCCTCAGAAACAGAAGGTTTGGACAGGAGGTGAGTATGGGTGGGGCACAGCTGAATTTATGTCATTTAAATTTCATGTAAATTTTGTTACACGTGTACAAAGTAAAATGTGACATTTAATGAAATCTGGTCGAATGAAATACGTTCAATTTGCACCAAGACAATGATTAATTATTTGAAGCATTGCTTCATGTTTATGAGGGAAAAGAATCTTGATGCTATATAAATGAAATCATTAAAATTTGATCATTTTGATAATGTTATCTTGTAGAGAAAAGTAAGTAGAAACTATTAACACATTAGGCCTGGAAGTGTCAAATGTTTTTAAAATGGGAGGTCAAATGATCATCCCCCGTTTCCCCAGAGGCTTCCCAGGAGTCATCACCGTGCAGATGCATAGCTCCTATTAGCCATAAGCACACAGACTGCAGCTAGCATCTCAGAGAACCACAGACCTGTGGGTGGTCTCGCCGCGTACGTCGCTGTCTGTCTGCGACTCTGTTCCAGCCGAGCAGAGCTGACTCTCTTCCAACTTCTGACAGCCCAGCTCTTTAACACAGGAGGCTGATAAAACTGCAGCGACACCCCACAGGCTCTCGAGGAGCTTTATGATACTACATATGTGCAAGAGAGGATTTGGGCCTACTGCCGCCTGCTCCGCTCCATCACAAATCCTGGCTCCTAATGACTACCAGCTCTTTAGGACCTGAGGCAGGGGGGTTAAAGCCCACCAATTGAGCGAATAATGAGTTGAATTAGGAGATTTAAGGACGAGGTGGAAGGAGAAGGGAACGGGTGGTGCTGAATGAAAACCAGAGGTGCTTACCGCAAAGCAGAGGAAGCAGTCAGACCGTGTGTTGGATTAGAACGGATGGGTACAGCAGCAGTGAGACGCGCCTGCTTCCCCAAACGCCCTGACAAACACATTTTGAGATGTAATCTCCATTTTAGCACTTACCACGAGAAGAAAGAGGAGACGCAGGCCACAAATACTATTACTGGAATAAATGTCATCACTGAGATGAAATAACGTGGCGGAATACAGCATTTCCATTCAGATTAAGTTGCTGTCCCTTTAAAAGCCGTATTTTGCATAATATTTGCTGGTGCATTTTGGGCTGATGGATTTTGGAGCATTAAACGGAAACCGTGTGTCTCCGTGTTTATGCCAGGCGACAGTTTGATAAAGTTTATTTTTTTTATTCCCTAAAATATCCGCAGAGACCTCCTTACTAATACAATTCTGAGTCCAGGTTTGCTCGAAGAAGAATTGACAGGTTTGAATAACATTACCTTTCAGATCGCACCGTTGGCCACTTATTAGCTTTATCTCGCATAATGTCCTGTTTTATTTAGTTTGAGTCTGATTAGTTTAAATGAAATCTCAGAACTTTGACTAGAAGGGAATGCCTTGTCAGAGCATATTTGCTTAAATTTCCTTAAACATCCATACAGCCTTTAGTAATGGTGCTTTTAAAAGTGTATTGTTTCACTATATAAACACAGGAAGCTGCATTGTCATCCACAATTTCCAGTAAATTCCACCCAAAACAGCCTCTTGGGTTGTATTTTTTTCCCCAGTCTTGGTTTTCTTTGATTGTGAACATGAACAAATGAAGCAATATTTGGTTCCTGTGGCCACACAGTTGACTCGGCCCAGCCTGCTCCCCCACCATCCTCCCTCAAGCCAAGCCCTCTTCAAGTTTATATACAATGCACAACATTGTTCAAAAGACAAAGCGCTGCAAAATGGTCTTTGAAGCCTTTGAACATCATCAAACGAGTCGTTGCAAAGTTAACTTGAGCAGCTAAACATAAACGAGTGAGTCATGCTGAAATAAAGAAATAGATGACAGGTTTCTATCTGATGGCTAATGGTCATACCAGCTTCAACAGTCAAAGGCAAACTTGAACAAAGTATCAGTGAATTCTCACATTTATGAGGCAGCTTCTTCAGATCTGTCAGAACTGTCAGCCTCCTGCAGCATAGACCAGGAAAAAAGGACAGACGGGCTATTTTAAGGGGAGAGCGCAGAGACATCGGTGTACCTCAGCAGGTATAATTATCCTACAGAGGCAGAGTCACAGCGTGAGCTGATTGTCCTCACTCTGAGAAGACAAGCTGAGTGGAAACGCTTCTGCAAGGAGACCTCGGCCCTCCAGCTCATCATCAACACTTAGGCTCCATTGTTTACTGAAGGATCCAACAGACCGACTCACACACACACACACACACACGCAGACACACACACACACACAGACACACAGATTTGACCCAACCCCTGCTTGCAGGTTAAACACTAAGATTGTTATGCCCTGTCACACCTCATCAGACTTAAAACTCGTTAGTGAGGCAATTTAAAGAAAATGTGCATGTATGGGTGTGTGTGTGTTTTCTGCTGCTATAGCTGATTGTCCTTAGGTTGCCTGACAAATGAGCTATTTTATTTTACTCATTTCTTCAAGTCAGTATTCAGGATGCCACACGGTTCCTGATTAATCAACTGCTGGTGTGAAAGCCTGTTGTGTTTGTAATGCTGCCAGTCTGAAGTCGCCTGAAGCATCTTAATGTTACAGATACACACAAAATTACAATCAATATGCCATAATAAGACACCTCAGTGTTTCTTTTTTATGTGCATTTGATGATACTAATTAGTTCATGTTAAACTTGGAAAATCTCCAAACCTACCTACAAATTATTAATAATCTATTAATCATAATTTTCTTTTACAAGACTACTCGCAAATTTTTTCCTTTACTTAGTACAAAAGTTTTCTTTCAAGCTTAAGAACTTTCTATACTTTTTTCCTTGACTGATGTTGACTGATTTTACATTATTTTATTTTATAGACGAGTCAAACAAATTCAACTAATGAAATGAACAAAATGTGCTGTAGGCGTCACTTCTTAAAAACTCCTTGGTGGATATTTGGGTTTTTTTTTTTTGTTTATTTCATTTTTTTTATGATGACAAATGCTTTCCAAAGCAAAGCAAATAATTTAGATTTACATAAAAACAAAAACTTTTGGGATTATCGGGACCATTGTTGTTTTGTGTTACAGCTGCTAGAGTCATGCAATGGAAAACAGTGCTATAAGACTGCAGCATGACCAAAACGACTGCATCTGTGTGCGATAAACTTGCGATCTTGTTGCCTTTGAAATGGTTACTTTGAAGCCACAGACCAGGTCTTAGGCCACTCACAATAAGTTGACATCTTCAAAGCAACTTTGGTGTAAAATGGCAATAAGGTGGAGTCAGTCTGCTATATCTCTCCCCATGCAGTTGCAGTGGGTGAATTTGACATTATTATTACTATCTATTTAAAAAAAGTTACATTCACCCGTGCAGACAGGCTCAGATTGATTGCAACAAGCAGGCAATCTCTCTGCTTTTTTAAATTATATAAAAGTCTATTAAAGAGCCGTTAAGGATAGCTAACAAGATGGCAGAGAGGACAACCTTTTTGTGTGTGACCTAATTTACATTATTTTGTGCCTTTCAGCTGCTGGACAATGCTCCTCCAAGAGAAATGAATGAGCTCGATGCTGGTCATGTTGTGGAGGGACCATTATGATCTTGTTGTGTAACACAGCAAAATCAATATAAGAGAAATATAATAATAATATTAATAACATAAATATGCACAAGACTACACTAAACCATATAATCTACACATACAGCTAATTACAAATATGTATTTGTTTTACGCTAATACAAATATATTCCACTGATTTCCTCCAAAGTTAATCCTGTAATGTGAATAAAAAGTACATTTTTGAAGTAAAGTTACACCAATGGTGGCAGCAAAATTTTTATAATATGAATGGTCATTACATTTGATAAGTTGATAATAACCAAAATAATATTTGTGCCAGTTTAACTGAACCTAGAGAGATTCATTAATTCTACTGCTTCTTGTACATTTCTTTTTCAAACAATCTCATAAAAGAGCAAGGGAAGTAATAGTATTGGCAGTGGTCATGTTCACAGGACAGGCTCAGTTTGTTTTTATGTCAGCTTCCAGCAGCTCTAATCGTGTGGCACAGCAGAGAGAAAAAATGCGAGCTGAGAGTGCTGGCAGCCTTTCTGTCTAAATTATTGTCACTCTCTCTGGCTTATTAGAAAAACCAGCCCCAGAGGCTTTACACAGACCTTTAATTGATTGGTCTAGCAAAAGGTTTAGCCCAGTGACAATCTGTGTGTCTTTATGCTCTGGGGTGTTTGAGAGGATGTATAAAATAGAAGTAAAAACAGACACTTTTTGAATTCACAAGTTTTAATTCACTTCAACACTGAACTGAACTAAGATTTCATCAGAACTGCATTTGAGTCTAACCCTGATTCCTGTCATACAGAAAAGCACAACATAATGATATAGAGTGATTGACGTAAAAATTAAAAAGGCAGGTCGTCTTTCTGAGTGTAGCAGCCAATCGGGATAGTCAAACGAGACACTATCCATGCTCAGATATTGTTTCCAACATACTATTTACTTACACATCTGCAAGAGACACCAAACAAAGAAAGAAAAAGAAAAAGATATTTGCTTTCTTTTTAAATAGTCTTGTGACTGAATTTGCTTTTCACAATAAAATGAACCGATTCCACTGAGTTGTCTTAAGGAAAAAAAAAATCTCCAAACTGGCTCAAACAATTAAAGTCACTCAGCAAAATAAAAGTATATCAACAACAATTTATCCCATGTCGGGTATTTACAGACATTAAAAGTGAAGAACAGAGTCAAACCTGCCACATTTCTTTAATGGCTCATAAAAGTAGATTGTCATCAACTGCAGAAAAAAGCACATTTTTACTTTCTTCTTTTTCCAGCAAATTTTCTATTTATGTGAAAAAGAACTATAAAAAAACCCAAAGAAAACTGGCATAATACGACTTGACAGGGCTTTTTTTTTTTCACCCAATAACACTCAGTAACTGCTTCTTTTATTTTCTTTCGCTCTCTCCGCTCCTCTTCTTCCTCTTCTTCCTCTTCTTGTAGGGCAGGGCACTCTTAATGTCTCTTGTTATCCAAACAACCGCCCAGTTCTGCAAACCAATATTTAAAACCATGGAAATAAAAACTAAAAATAGCACGCAATGACAGCATCTCTAACCATAATAACAACAATAATAACAATAATGATAATAATAATCATGGATAAAGATAGCAATAAATAGGGTTGGTGAAGTTTAAGTGCGGGTAGGTGTGGTGAAACACAAGACTGTGGGCACCAATTAGAGAGAGGAGAGGAGGCGGGAGGGAGAGAGTGAGATGGAGAGGAAGAGTGGAAGGGGTGGACTACCACATAGAGAAAGACTGATTGCTTGCTGCTCTGTCTCTTCTTTCCTAACATTTTTTCCCTCTTGCACACGAATGTGAGGGTCCCTCCACGCCACATCCTCTTCGCTGTCCTCCTGCCAAACTGTCCACTGCTCCTCTCCACACTCAGTTTTAAACAGTTTGTCTTTTGCAGCTTTGAGCGGCGAGACAGATGGATGGGAGAAGGGGGACGAGAATACAGCACATCCACTAAATATCAGGGTCCTTGTGATCAGTAAGTGCTAGATTGGACTATTCTGGAGTGTGACTGTGAGGCAGAGGCAGGGAGTATGTGTGTGTGTGTATGTCGGCCTTTACCACAATGAAATAAAGCTTGAAGATGCACAGAGAGTGCTGTGTACCTGCGGTCTCAGGCAGGCAAAAGTATTAGCAACATCAGCGTGTGTCCTGAGGATTTCGTCGCTTTTGTCGAGGACCCAGCCCACCAATTAAGTTCTATATGACTGTGCTCTGTCTTTAAAGAGGAGGAGCGTGGCTTTCCTGGCTGATTAGGATAAATTGGTGCGATTGTTTCGAGGTCAGAGTAGAAAAAGTATTTCCTACGAATGAAAATCTGGGGTGAATTATTTAAACGTTCCTCGGGGGAGTATTCTTTCACATTTATACAACTACTGCCGTATCACAGCACACCAATAACCTGTTTTCTTCTACTGAGGTAATTTCACTCTACAAATCTGCGTTTGGTACTGTACACAGTCTGTCTGATCATTTCAGATGTACAGTGTTTCAGCCCAATGCTGTCTTGGTTAATGTGCCTGGGTAGACGTTAACCTTCCTTTGCTGCCACCCTCCATAATTTCTTGAGTAATTCCTCACTTGCTATCACAGAACATACGTTTCTCGTGCTTCTCTCTTTATCTCTGTCCTCTCTGTTCGTCAGTCTCTACCTCTGGTAGTCAGCCTGCTCTCGAGGACTGGATGAGGAGCTCCCGGGTGCAAGAGGTCCACTAAGCCTGCCTTGCCCCTTGTCCTTGCAATCCTCCTGAGCCGCATTGGACCCTAAAGACAACTGGCTGGAGTTGGAGCTGGAGGATGTCGGAGGCTGGTTCAGCCCCCCACTGCTCCCACTGTTCCCCTCAGTGGGCTGGTAGATCTCCTCAGCCCCATCCTCGCTCGACTCTGGGTCCTCTGAGCCCGAAAGCAACTCCTCTTCCCTGTACTCGCTGACATCAACCCCTCCAGTGGCGGCAGCACCCTCGCCCAGGTCTTTGAGGCGGCCGTGGTGCTTGACGTGATACCGCTGGTTCTGGAAGAACTTAATGATGGTGTGTTTGGGTAGGTCAAGCTGTGCGGACAAAGTATGAATAGCCTCCTGGTCTGGGTACAGGCCAACATCCTGGATGAAGCTCTGCAGGATACCCAGGGCCTCTAGAGAAATCTAGAATACACACAGCCAAGTGTCAAAAACTAGATAAAGAAATGAACAAACCCACATAACAAAATGCAGAATGGGAAAACACGATAACCATCGGTACCTTGGTGCGCGATCGGGGCTTCTTGTTGCTTCCAGCACCGCCAACAGTGCCAGATGCAACACCTGTAGGTCCTCCACCCATATTCTGTGACCTCTCTTCATTCGCTGGGGCAGACAATGGTTCTTCACGCATTGGAGACAGGTGATGCTCCTTCATGGGGCCTGGGGGTGGCCTGTGAAGTGCCTGGCGAGAAAGGCAAAAGAGCTGATTAATGGGGCACAGTGACCCCTGATCAAGACTGCAGCCAGGAGCGAGAGTGCACACTATTTGATCTAAATGTATATAAATGTGTTGTATGAGCATTTATGTGACCGTGGGTTTTTGCACTTTATGCCTCACATTTGATCAGAAATACAGTTTTGCACCTGATAAGTGTTATATTCAGTTTACAAAACCCTGTATGTTACATAACATCTTATAAATCATCCAGTATACCACCCTCCACCTGCAGTACACAGTAGCCAGGGCTGCAAGGTGAACACAGGGTGAGAACAAGTGCTCACAGTGTCATGGTCTATTAAGCTGCTCCAAGGCTGGCATTCAAACACCAATGCATCCTGGTTACCTTTGACCTAATGTGTGTAAGATTAGCTCTAGTAAAACGCCAACCACCTGTTTGCCAGGAAGTCTCTTATTTACAAACTTATGAGACCCAATCACTATTTAACCAGCAAATTCAAAGCCTCAGAGGGGCAGAGGGTAGAGGGGGAATGAGGACAAAGGAGTCATCATCTGCAATTGGTGCTTAGATAAGGTCAGCAGAAAGCAGCTATTGTTGTAGTTTGATAGTAGAGGACAGGAAACACAAGGAGGAAAACTTGTGAGAGTAAATGAACAAAAACACAACAGAAGAACATATAAGGTACCAAAAAACCAGCAGATAGAGATAGAGCAGAATCAAAACAATTAACTTCATTAGACTGTAACTGACACTCTATTAAACGGACACACCAACAGAACTGCTGTTACTTGATAACATAGGGAATTGGTATCATCACCATATTTATGAACAAAAGAGCTCCAGAATCGAGAAACTGAAAAACTTCATGTTATCTTTTACTTGATTAGACTTGTATTTATAACAAGTATTCAATAATTAATCAATATTTCATATACAATATACGCTGGCTCTCTTTTAGAACTTCTCTTTTAATAAAGGGGTAAACAGGAGTTTAAAAAAGCATATTCATTGTAAACTACTTCAGCACATTAACTTAGTCACTGTAAGATCAAAGTACATTAGCACTGCTTTTGTGCTCATTTGATCATAGAGGCTATTTTTAGGAGTATTTCATACACATCATGCTAAAAACAAATTTTTCCTTGTTATAGTTACTCGTCAGGAGAAGCCTCCAGACTGGCTGGCTGGTTATTGATCTGTTCTTAAATCTGATCTGGTTGATTTTTACTTTCATATAAAATGAAGACATTGTGTCAAACGCAGCCTGATGAACCAAAACTTAGTTTAAGAAAAACAAAAACAAAACTTCTACTATTGCTGCTTGAACAGCTGGTGCAAGTGTACCTGGGTTTTTATCAACTCAGATTATTCAGTAATCCAGGTTATGACACAAAGAGCTCAAAGTTTAGCAGGATTTATGTGTACAGAGAGCTGCAATAGAAATACATAGAAAAGCGGAGCTTGTGCCGAGAGGATCCTCTGGCTGTCAGGATGGGCCTGATGGCCGTGTGACAGCACTGAGGAGGGCCGGATGAAGTGTTCGGAGGGAACGTGGGGACTTTGGTTGTTTGTCAGAAGGTAGTGGCTGTTGTGAGAGCGTTGCAGTTCTGTCCCGCCCGCTCACTTTAAGAGCAGGGAGGGGCCTCCCCACTGGAATGCCCAGCTATAAATCTGTGGCGCATTAAAATTAAAGGACCCACATAAAGATAATAGTCATTCACTTTTCTCTCCCTCTTTTCAATAATAACAGGGTATTACTTAAATAATATCGAGGGCAGGTCAGACCATGAAATTGCTCCAATTTCATTTCTGGGGCTTTATTTCTGCAGAGGGGGGGGGCATTTACAGGAATTCTGTAGGTTTTTCCTTATTTTGCCATTTTTCAAATTGACGGTTTTAGATATTGAAGAAAAAAACAGAAGACTGTAAGAATGCGACAGACTAGCAATACAAAGTTAGAGGCAAAGACCGAAAAGAGAGGGAAAAAAAGAGTCTATCCCTGTTCTAATGAGGACCACACAGCCACAAATATCCCCCATACAAACATACTGAGACACTTAATAGCTAAATTGAGGGTAAACCATAGAGGGGATTGTGAAACCTACCACCCCAAACACACTCCCACACAGACCTTCATCATTTCAATGCTTATTTGAGCTGACGGCAGGGACTCTCGGATCAGGGGCCGCACATGCATGCATCGACAGAGGAGCCTGGACTCCTACATGTTATAACGGATATGTTTGAAAGCAGAGGCGAGCACACAGGGCTCCTTCAAAGTTCACCTCCAAATGCTTCTTATCTGTTGTCTTATTCTGCCATACCTGAAGCTTTTCTGTCTCTACCTCCTTTCCACGTCTGTACTCACTTCTAATGCTTCAGGACACTAATGAAGCGAGTCCCGGCCAACCCAACACGACTCCAAAAATTCATAGATGCCAGGAACCCCTGCTCCCACCTCCCCGTGTCCTCTACCTACACCACTCTCTAACTACTTTCTGCAAGCCCTGATTCAGTATTTAAAATAAATGTTTGTACCACACCAAATTTGATTTACCATTTATAATAAATTAGGATCCTAGTTGAATTTTGAGCAGTTCAGCATCATGATCAAACACTTTTGTTGTATATTTTTCCTAAAAACTAGTTTCGACTCGATTTGTTTTGATTGCCTTTTGCATTTTCCACTTTTTACGACTTCAGTCTAACCCTCTGTGTCTTTGCTTCTTGAGCTCCACTATTTCTCAATTAATCACTTTGTTAATCACCGTCACCATACTGGATTCTGTCATCTTACAGAATCCAGTACAGCAAACTCTGGGTGTGTGAGAAAGTAAAAAAATCATGAAACCAATTTTTGGCGAAGGTAATTAAAAGCTAAAACTAAAAAGAAAATCAAAACAGCAAGCCGTGGTCATGTGTCATAGGGGGCTGACCTACAGTCTGGGGTTAGTTACCTAGACTAACTGGGCAAGCTGGAATCGTTGTAGATCACAGGCAAAGAAGTTCTGCTAAAATGCTTTTCATTGCCCAACTACCCATCATTTTTCATTGCCATATGAAGTCCACAATAATGATTCATAAGGCAGCCACCTCTCTGGTAATGATCTGGTTAAGTTTAGGGACCAAAAGTGCTGGGTTACAGTTTGGGAAAGATCATGGTTTGGGTTTAAAACCCATATGTCTAAGGGCAGGGAAAGATCATGGTCATAACTAAATGAGGACTTGCTGTACTCTGTTAAGGTCAGGAAAAGACTGTGGTGGTCACAGGCTCAAAGAAAACAGCAGCAGTTCATACATGTAAGAAACAGAAACATACGAACATGGTCTCCAGTGGAGAACGTGACGTGTTGATACGGCATCCTGATCCTGTTTTTAGGAAAACACCCACTATGACATCCAGAAGTCTGATGTTGTAGATATCAACTTGGCTACTATTCAGTGTCGGAAAATTTCAGTATGCAACATATGAAAAAGTACATGAAAAGGAACCAAAATGCTAAGATGCATGCATTCAGTGGTACCGAGGAGTGCAACATGAACCCGGCTTTAGTTTGCATTTTTTAAACGTGAGCAATTTAGCTGTTAACGCGACCACTGTAGCATCATTCTGAATATAGACTATTAAAAAATTGTGTTTTATGATCTGACCGAGAAACCAGCGTATACTGCATGCTCAGTAACGTGCACTGGTTTATCCTTCCTGTTTTTCTAATGGGGAACATAATTGACATATTGAACATGATACAGTATTTAAAAAAGACTTGAAATTCACAAGCGAGAGTATAAACTCACCAGAGAAGCCTTTACTCGGGTCATAGAGTATTGGAGTTGCTGTCCCATTTTCGAATGAGCAAATTTACAGAAATATTCACCAAACGTAACATGTCAGACGTGATCTCGATTATGCTACAATTATTCTTAAACGTTTACAGTTTATTTGGCCTGTTTCACCTTTAGTCCCCCTTCCCATGCAGTCCAGCTTGCCTACTTCTCACCATTAAACGTTGGAAAGGACTACATGTCACTTCAGAGCAACACAATACAGCCCTGCTCTCCCAAAACCACAAGCACTGGAGCCCAGCGCCAGACCAGCTCTTCTTGTGGCATGATTCAATATTCCTGAAAAACATCCCCCCCTCTCTCTCTTTCCTTCTCACTTCTCCCCTCCCTCTCTCTGTCTTTCTCTCACTCTTCTGGCAGCGCCGTGAGTGCACTGCAGTGAAATGAAAAAGTTTTCTTTAAAAACGTAAATCAAGGCAAATCACGACGCAGAACTATGAAAGAATTATAGAACATGAAATATTCATCTTCCCCTTAATGAGCTCTGGTCCTGCAGGACCTCTAACTCTCGCTCTCTGTCTGTGTGTGTTTTGTTGTGTATGTGTGTGTGTGTGTTTGGTTGTGGGTGGGGGGGGGTGACCACAAGAGACGGCATTAACACAGAGATAAATATGTAATGAAGGAAAAATCACTTTTCTGTTGGTTTTTTGCATGACTTCACCTTTCCTGTTAATCAGTGTGTTTTTTATTTTCCCCCTTTTCCCTCCATCTCTGTCTCTGTCTGTCTCTTTCACTCTTGCATTTAAAGAAGTGTGTGTGGTTGCGATTCATGGAGACTGGATCCGGACTAATGGAGTAGATGAGTCACTGCACATAACTTTTTTTTGGTATAATAATGTTTCTTTGATGAAAAACTGTATACACGTAATGTCACTGAGCGCTGGGGTCATGTGTGTATACACATGCACGCACTTGCATTGTCGCATCTTTTTTTCATTCAAACTGTGTGTGTGGTATTCATTCCATTTATCTGCAATTAAACAATTAACTTAATTGTGGTTTGCCAAAAAGCCCAAACTCCACCCTGCAACAGTGAGTGAGGCCACCGGGATGCACTGAAGACTGAGAGACAAACCAGGAGGAAAAGAGAGAGGCAGATATGTTGTCTGGAAGTGAAATGGATAGACTACACAAACTGAAACTGAAAAATGCTGCTTTATCACTTATCGTACAATTATTT